TAAAAGTAGAGTCGTTCTAGGCACAACGATAAGGTAACATGCTTTACCTGAGTCTGCCCTGATTAAAGTGCATTGTTTTATAATAGGGTGGGGAAGAGTTGGCAACCCTGTCCTATTATTGCTGCCTGTATCCCCACTGATTGTCCTGGTGACCACAGTTACCAGGACTGAAAGTGAGGGAAAATCCAGAAATGTTATTTTGTCACTAGAATATAAAAATAAGGGAAATTTTCCAATGTGGACACTTGGTGACGGCTGTCTAATTGGGCATTTCTCTCACTTTTGGGGATCTCATCTTGCTTCCTGTGGGTCTACAGGACAGGTAGGGAAAGAAAATCTCCCCAATGGGACATAGATGGGTAGGGGGGAATGCTGATGTTGGTTTAACCATTCCCGGAAAAACTGTATTACATCAGTCTGACACTGTGGTGCTTAAAGCAGAACTCTGGGTAAAAAAATTTTCTTAACCCTTGCAGTGGGGTTTGCCACTTCAATCAAGTATAGGCAGCTCTGTATGGCCTGCCCAAGTCCAAACACACATCTAAGGCCAATGTTGCATTTCTTAAGAACAACGGTAAAAGTGATTCAGTGGCCAAGTATGTCTCCTGATCTGAACCCAATCAAACACCTTGGGGAATTCTGAAGTTGAGCATCACTCTCCATCCGGCATCCAGGCTCTAAAATAGGTCGTTCTTGAAGAATGGAAAAAGATAGTTCTTGCATTATGTCACCAACTTGTTCATTCCATGCCTGGAAGACTTGGTGCTGTCCTTACAAATCATGGAGGTCACACAAAATACTATATGTAGTAGTTTTTGTTGTGGGGTGTATTCATTTTTGCTTCACCTAATTTGAGTAAAACTGAATATTCTGTAATCTAAGTTGAATTATTAAACTTGTAGTAGTATATGAACAGACCGCTCTATCCAGAGAATTTCAATACTTCAGACTTTATTGAAATTCACAGCAAATCCAGTATAACAGGAGGCCTCTATGAATAAGCATACGGGTGAAACGTGTGAGAGGTTGTAGCTGGTTGGGGGTGTGCAGTGCTGGTATTTGTTGCTCTATACATTTGAATTCACCGTTATACTGGATTTGCTGTGAATTTCAGCAAAGTCTGAAGTATTGGGATTCTCTGGGTAGTGCGGTCTGTTCGCATACTACTACATTCCAAGGTGGAGACGCACCTATTAGACCAGCACCTGGGGAGTCCTGATGGTGGCTAAGGAATTAGAACGGTGAGATTTCCTTTGGCTCTACATATTAATCTTACTTTAATGTGATGAGCTTAACAAATGTTCTATAAGCCTCGGTTTTGTCAAAATTTTGGAAATTGTTCTTGTGGTTACTGAGATACTGATTAAAAGTTTACTGTTCAAAGGGGTGTACTCATTTATGCTGAGCACATTATATATGTGCTACTACTGTATATCCATCTTGGCACAATGTAAGTATATACACCGATAACATTAGGACCACCTGCCTAATATTGGGTAGGTCCCCCTTTTGCCACCAAAATAGCCCTGATCCGTTGAGGTATGGACTCCACTAGACCTCTGAAGGTATGATGTGGTAAGCGGCATCAAGCTGTCAGTAGCAGATACTTTATGTTCTGTAAACTGCAAGGTGGGGCCTCCATAGATCAGATCAGACTTTCCAGCACATACCACAGATGCTCCATTGGATTGAAGTCTGGATAATTTGGAGGCCAAGTCAACATCTTGAACTTGTGTACCGTAAACCATTTTTACAGTGTGGCAGAGCGCATTATCCTGCTGAAAGAGGCCACTGCCATCTGGGAATACCATTTTTATGAAAGGGTATACTTTGTCAGCAACAATGATTAGGTAGATCGTAAATGTCACAGCCACATGAATGGCAGAATGTAATGTTTCCCAGCAGAACATTGTCCAAAGCATCACACTGCACCTCAGCTTCAGGCTGTCGGTGAGTTAGCAGAGGCTGTGAGGAGGAATGCGCCGCTGCACAGATCACTGACAGGTTGTCAGTGATCTGGACAGCGGCACGTTCCTCCTAACAACCGCCAGTGACAGCCACCAGCCTGCGATGTCATAGAGACCCAGGCGGCCTGCAAGTCATTAGGGGGACCCCCTTTGTTCCTTGACCTGGTTGGGTGCCCCGGCCCCATCAAAACAAACAGGTTTTCAATGTCTTATGTTATTATGTGTTGCATTAAGGCTTCTCTTTAAAAATAATGGGCCTTTAAAAATCCACCTTCACATGCTAAAAAACAAAACACAATGTAGGTGTGTTGGGGTGCCATTCAAAATGAATGGCACCGGGGCGTGGCTAGCCGGCGATGTGAGTGGACGTGCTGCTTCTGAGCTCCACATCTGACCCGCTACCTAAAACACATTAGCAGCCATCCAAACCGCATAAAATGCGAAAGAGCAAATCAAAAAAAACCTGCAAAGGTTCTGCAGCTTCTTACCGCAAGTCGCAGGCTTCTCTCTCCATCAGGGGATACTTTGATCGGCTGGACCGCCCGGAGGGGACACCTCGTGGCAAGATGGCGCTGACGGAGCCGGACGTGAGGCCCTTACAGCCTTCCTCGCAATCAACACGGGACTCGGCTGGAGGGGATTCCACATCGGGGTTCCCCCTCCTCATGCTCGCAGACGTCCGCGAGACTACGGCACGGGGGCTTGGAACCTACTGACAGGGAAGGTGTATGGCCCGAGGGAGCAGATGAGCCGGCGTGGTCGCCGCAAACAGTGCAGCAGGAGGGCCCCGGTGTGGACTCGGGCGGTTTCGGCACCAACACTTCCCGCTGAGCACAGAGGGGAAATCAGGGACCCGGGAGTACCACCACAACACGGCATCTTTTCACCTGGGACATCACGCCGGAGGACGGAGGTAGGCCGCAGCGCCCCCCTAGATTTGGGGAAACAGGAAGGCCCCTACAGATCGGGCCTACTCAGCCCTCATATGAAGGAGGGGCAGAAACGGGGGATCCAGACCCAAGGCAGACACCCCACAAGCGCAAAACTAACAGGGAGGCCAACATGATCTCCTCCTCAGATCCTGATGATGATGGAGAGTATGCCTCATGGAGGGAATGCATGAAACACATCCCTACTAAACGCGACTTTCGCCTCTTAATACAGGAAGTAAGGGACACATGTAAAACTGAAATTCAAGTACTCCACAAGGATTTTCAACAACTGACGCAAAGAGTGGAGGACATTGATGGGGAAGTGCAAACTACTAAACAAGATATATATCGCTTACAATCGTTAAATTGTTTAATTCTCAAAATAATGGTTTAGACATGCACATGGATACGTATCATCCTACTGATAAATATGCCCATGACTAAACTCCATGCGCACCTCCTATCGATACATACAGTTTAGTCACAAATATATGAGCAGCAAACTGGGTGAAAAATGAGCTGGACAGGCAATTTTATGTTATTGAAGGTTTGTTTATTGCCCACCTTGAGGAATCCACCAGTAGTAGAATGGAGTCCTGGAGGGACTGCGAATGCTCTCAACAAACCTCTGTCCGGATGATCCGAGGTTGTGGTACTTTAGCCCCATAGCAATGGAAGCTAACATGTGAAAATGTTTTGAGCACTAACCTGTTCCCTTCTCTGTATATTTTGCTTTTAATGTCCATTTGATATATGATTCAATATTTTGA